GGCAAATGAGACTCCATTTGGTAATTGAAGAATAACTATTGAAAAGATAATCGAATATGAAAACCAATTCACGATACAGTCCTCATAAAAGAGAATTTGAGCGTAAGATTACTAATATCAAACATCTTGCAAGGCAAAATTGATAGCCTTTGGAAGAATAAATACAGCATAAAAGACTTAAACCAACCAAGTGTAAATGAATATAACACGACTGCATATTCTAAGTACTCATCAATCACTCAATTGAAAGCAGAGATGTCTTCAATTTATATTAGCACATTAAATTTACTCATTTATCCGTGCTCAACTGGTCATAAAATTCATATACAAGTCTGGCATAAAGAAAATCTGTGCTACCCTTCTCTGATCAGAATTAACTAATTCGAGATCAAATCATAATAAGCAATTCGGCAAACTCACATTAAAGATACAAGTGTTCCAGTATCTAATCATGTGTGCTAATGCATTTACCCCGAGTAATCACCAGGATAGTTATTTAGCAGAAAGGTAATTGATGCTATTTTGAGCACTTTCAGAAACAAACACCGCCAACTCAAAAACATGATACTAAAAGCTTGTTCAAACTTTGAGAACACCCAAATCGATCTACATGCCTGTTCCAGGTACCAAGCTGATTGCATACTCCAGATATAATTATTAATTGTGCAAGGTTTAATTCATTAAGTCCTATAACTTTCAACATACATACACACTCGCATGCGGAGGGTATGCACATAAGTTGTAATTCGCCCCAAGTGATGATCAGGTAAATAATTTTGCAAACATTTTCTCTATTCCATAAAAGCAAAAATGTCAAAAGCCCAACATTTAATACCCGGCGACATACTTCCGAGGTGGATCAGCACTAAAATCTATTCTTTTGTAAAGGATAAAACATTTTGAGCTGATAGATAAAATAAAGAAAATGGCCTCAAGTAGGCGCTTGTTTAAATAATAACAGAAGAATCACCCAAATATGCAGGCGAAGAACCAGCTAGATAATAGTTGAACCTATCATAAACAATAAGAAAACCAGTAATAAACAGCAGCAGAAAAACCCACTAACCAAGCTACAAATTTATAAATTTATTTGGTGCATTCCTGACTCCACCACCTCAGTAGCAGGATACATCCTAAGTTGGAGCTCCAAGCAAACCTACACTTCCCGGGGCTTGCCTTGCCGTGCCTCAACATCTACATAAATAAAGGATAGTGGGCACCGGGGAAGAAGCAGTCCAGCCCCTTCAAGAAAGCTTTGCACTGTAGACACTAACTTCTCCCAAGAACAATGCTCTGAACTCCACACCCCCATCCCATAACAACCAAAGAAAACCAACTTATAGGCAGCTCAGGCATAGTCATTCTTAGATTTCACCAACACAATATGAATAAAAGTTATGATTAGGACTATTTCATATTCGATATCAATAATAATATCGCAGCCATTAAAATATCCAGTAAAACTTATTGTACTAATAAAATTCTGAAACCACACATATCATCCAATTACACGTAGAGTAAAAACAAAACCCTCACTTAAAATAGCCAAAAGTAAAGTCGATTAATAGTAATCAACCCAAAAATAGAGAGCAAAAGAGTAGACGAATCCAACAGAAATAAGCGATATCACGATCTTAATACTTCATTAGACGGGGCTGAGCAGTTGCGAGAGTGAAGGTTTGGGCTCAGAGTTCATCCCAATAATGATGACCAACGGTATGAATCCATAGTGAGTGATGACTTTAGCCTTCTTCACGGTCCACGTGCTCCACTCCTTCACGAACTTTGCCGCCACCGCCGCAGTAGAGCCCTCTTCCTCGGCCGCAGCCGGCGCCTTCTTAACGCTCTTGCCTTTCGCCGCCTTTAGGGAAATCTTCGAAGCCATTTTTGTTCTCAATTTGCGATTATTGTTCTCTCTGCTGATTTTCTACTCTGTGTTTTTCTCACAGAATGCCCTAGAAACATATGATTCTAAAAAAATTCACTAGAGACACCTGCAATATACACTTCGGTTTCATATTAGTTACTCAACTTTAACTTATTTTAATTTGATCCTTCAACTTATACTTCTTTTAATTTGTGTGTTCCCTCTTTAACCATTACCAAATCTAACTGAACCTGTTGACTTGACCAGTAGAAATCATGACCTCAACTAATATATTTGTTTAGTGCAAGTGGTGATGATAATCATGGGGTATGCGCTAGTGTCATTGATTGGCAATTTAAAACTGGTCAATGCTCATAAATATTTGAGATTATCAGTTTTTCAATTAGGGACAAAGTCAAGAGGACAAAAAATATTATACTGAATTGATACATAAAGAAAATTCATTCAACCTCTTTTTACCCTACAAAATTAATTGGGCTCAGATCTAAGCTTTGTTGATCCTTGTTTTCAGTCATCTAATTGACGTGTAGATAACGAGGAAACTATCATGATAGGATATTTCCCCATTCTAATATTATAATGCTATTATGGATGAAATGCACTAGACATATATTCCAATTACTAAAAAAAATCGAAAAAGAGCACTAAAATCCACCTTTTTGTCTTTCTGATTGACTTGAAATTCCAAATTGGTCAACAAAATTTGTGATCAAACATATATTCTACCAGTATAATTTTATTATTTTTTATTTTTTTGCTCTAGGAATTACTAATCTTGCATTTTTTT